ACTGGGGCTTTTGCTGAAGCTGCCCTGCCCACACCTGTCCTACCCATGCCCAGGCTCCCCCACACCCAGCACCTGACAAGGGGACCTAGGCCAGAGGTGCAGTCTCCTCTCCCACAGTGGCAGCAGTTTCTTGGACCATCACTATCTATGGCCATCATTGTGAAACTGATTTTTATAACTTTTTGTAGCCCTTCCTGCAAAAACAGGGGGGCTCAGGCATCAGTCCCATGGGCTGGGCAGAGGTCACCCTGAGTGGCAGAACCTGCACCCCCAATGCCCTGCACCATGCATCTTTCTCCTTGAATCTAACTCTTATGACTCTTATTTAGCATATGTTCTTTTCCAGGAGGCTCGTTTGTTCCTCGTCTAAACAAATTCCTGGAGAGCCTGTCCCAATAACCTGTCAAACATTATTGAATCTCCTGCTACCTACACATGAATTGACTGAGTTATACAGACCCTGGTCTAGGTCTTAAGTGTTTGTGGACCCTAAATCACTGTGTTGGAGGTTCTGGGGTTCATGAAAGCTTAGTGGGACAGTGTGCAGTGATTGATTACTGATGCCTGCCACATGCACTAGAAGGGAGAGGGGTAGCATGTGTGTCACATCCATGCCTCCTAAGACTAGGTTACCAGGTTGCTTTTGAAGACATATAAGTGGACAGGAAGGGAAGAGATTTCAGATTTACAGATATTTACAAATATTTAACAGTGACTACCTCAGCATATCTTATGGCCGCTTTTGGAAAGATGTGCCATTGACATTCCCTTTCACAGATGAAATCTGGTGCTCAGAGAAGGTAGGTGATTTGCTTAAGGACAGACAACTACTATGCAGAGTTAGGGTCCAACTTAGTTCACCAGATGCCCCAGCCATACTTCATCCATTGTCCCATGTAGTCTTAGTGTGTTTTCTGGAAAGGGCTGGACCAGAAAACAGTGGAAGGCAGTTTTGGAGCCACCCTTGGAGAGAGCTTCACCCAAGCACTATGCAGAAGCAGGCTTTTTAGTCCCTTCCAAGTGATGGCAATGGCTGATAATGTTGATAAATCTTGTGGTGATGTGGCCAGGCTCCTAGCCTCATAAGGGATTGGCCGTCACTGCGGCAGAGAAGGCGTTAGTTGCTCCCAGAGGCATCTTTGAATGAGATAGACTATCGGAAGACTCTGGACCCTCTCAAAACACACATGTTCATCAGCATTACCCAGGCCCCACAGGAGCAGTCAGCGGGAGCTTCCCCTAAATGCTCTTCCTAAATGTACACTCTGGCTTTGTTGTCCGTGCTGATATCAACCACAGAGGACTGCCACCTCCGACCACTGGTTGTCTTTGACCATGAAGAAGTGTGCAGACCAACAACATTCCTGAAGCCCTCTCCAGCCTGACAAAATAGGATACCCCACTTCAGTTCCACGTTCCATACCCCAAATTGACCTCCTCTAGAGGAGGGGTGTCAAGTTTCCACTGGGCAAATAGGGCCATGTCCCTGTGTCTTCTCTACTCTACACACACACACACACACACACACACACACACACTTCTTCCTTTATTCCACACCCTGCTAGGAAAAGTGGAGTCATACTGTCCAATCATTTAGGCCCTTTCTCCAATCAACAATGGATCATCCATCACCCATATATGTAGCCCTTGGCTCTGGAGGGAAAGATGGGAAAAAATGGCATTGGCAGGCTCTGATCTCGAAGAGCCTAAAAGATCACTGAGACATAAAGATTTTAAGGTGAAAAAAGATAAAAAATTGGAAAGGTCAGAGGTAAATGTAGACTTTGGCTCTCAGGGAAGGGTTCATGAGAGATGGCAGAGAGGAGAGGGATTGAATTTGGAGACAAATCTGGGTCCTGCTCTGCACTAACCTTGGCCCTGCACCTTCTCTTGGTCTCGGCCTCCTCATCCATCAAGCAAGGTACTCAGGTCACCTCTAGAAGCATCATCCTTTGTGGTCACCAGCAGTGACTTCTGTAACTCATTTGGTATCCACGTTGGACTTGACATGAGTGTGTTTAGTGGCAGGAGCTGGCCTGAATCGATGGGAATCTATTTATGGTTTTATTTGTCCAATAAAGTAGGAATGGTTGCATATTTCATTATAGAAAAATTAATGTATTGGCTCATGGCCTGCTGTCCCAGACCTCGGCAGGGGTGACATGTAATATACCACACATGCTGTGCACATAAACTGAACTCCAAACAGTTCTGAATTCTGAAACACACTCTCCTCAAGAAACCTCAGCTAAAAGACATGACTAGGGGCATAGCTATGCAGACCAGGCCTCAGCAGGCTTTTCTGCAAAGGGCCAGATAGTAAATATTTTAGCTTTGTGGGCCACATATGGCCTCTGTTGTAATGGTTCAACTCTGCTGCACACAAGCAGCTACAACCAATGGGCATGGCTGCACTCCAATAAAACTTTATTTATAAAAACAAGCAGCTGGTAGGATTTAGCCTGTGGGCTGTGATGGGTCAAGCCTGATGTAGAGAAATGGGTTTGAGAGCTGGAAAGAGCCCCAGAAGTCACCTACTCTGTCCCACCTCTATTTCACATTTGAGTCTCTGAAGATAGGAATAGGTAGAACAGGAATCCGGCCTGTGATTCTCTTAGTACCTGTTTTGTGGTACATAAGTCTCCTCCCCCGGCCAGGGCTGCACCCTGGTGCCTTCTGACCAGCAAGAGCAGGGCAGATGGCCAGGAAGCCTCTTTGGTTCCTGAACCAGTTCCAAAGAACAATGGAAGCAGAAGAGGATCTCAACTTCCTTAACCAACAAAGAGAAAATGCCAATTCGAAAACCAGAACCGAGGAGAAGCGGTGAAGCGAGTCTTGGCGTCCTGGACTCTAAAGGCCACTTGGCTGACTGGGGAGATTGCAAGTGGCTGCTGCCAGCTGAGCAAGGGCAGCCAGAGTGAGGGTGGCAGGTGACAGCCACCTGGGGTCTGGGAGCTGCAGCAGCTCTGTTCACCATCTGCCACCCTTCTTCTTGCTCCCAGCCAGATGAGGGAAGAGCCTGCCCTTCTGGCCAGGCACTGCAGGGCACCATCCCCTGCTCCCCCAACTTCCTGCCAAGAAGCAGGAAGTGATGGCAGATGCTCATGGAAGAACCTGGGGTGGCACAGCTTTGGGTGGAAGCCACAGCCCAAGCCTGCTAGGACAGGGGCAGGGGGAGCAGGAGCTGAGTCACCCTGGGCCCAAGCAAGCAATAAAAACACAAGGCCCTGGGAGCATTAACAGAATTCTGGAGCCTAGCAGAAAGGAGCTTTAGCACCCATTTTCCAAGTGAGACTGAGACCATCACACACTTGTAAGCAGCAAAGTATGAGCTATAAGCCACATGTCCTGATTTTCATCCCAGGCCTCTTTCCACTGACAAACACATACCTTGCTTAAAATATTTTGCCCACAGGGAATGTGTCCATGTGTAAAAATCCTGTAACCATCGTACCTCGCTCATGGGGCTGTCTTGAAGGTTAAATGAATAACTACACAGCCCGAGCTTTCCCAGAAATGGGATCCATCAGCTAGACCATCCTGCTCCCCCTCTTTGTTGGTTCAGACTGACTAATTGATTTTTCTTTGTTGTGGATGAAAAGAGTGCTCGGACTGATCATTGATCAGCTCGCCAGAAGGCCTTCTCCTTTGTATTAGCCAAGAGAGAAGAGATGATGTGCTGCTGACTGTGTATATATAACTTTCTCCCAGAGACCAGCTTAGAAATGAAACAGCCCACTTTCAATGCCCTCTCCTCCTGAAGGGCAGAGAGTGAGCAGACAGCACAGAAAGGCTTTTCAAGCACCTTCTCTGCAGTGGCCCTCACTCACAAGAGTTCCAGGAAGCACCATTGGTTCCTGGAGGATGCTTCCAGCTCAGAGCAACAAGTTCCAGCCAGAAGCATCATCTTCTTTATATCCTGGCTTCCTGTCCTCATTGTGCTGATGGAGACAGGGTGGGTCACGTGTCAGTTGTATCCCTTACTTTCTGGGTGACCTTGGGTCAGTTGGTAGATTCAACTTTCTACCAGGGGCCGAGCTCTCCTAATAAGGCCACTCATGGAGAACACCAACATCCTGTTCCTCTTCCCTTCCTTTAGTGTTTACCATCACAGTCACAAATCAGCTGAAAAGAGCTGTTCTTTTGAAATGGCAGGATGACATTTCCTCCCTGCAAATGCCTGTAGGGCGGTGTCGAACACCTGAAGCATCTTCCCTGGGCACCTTACGAAGTGCTCAATAAGATAGATCTATTGGTCAATCGATTGACTGGCTGATGGACAGCCCTTCCAGTGGACTGATGCTGGGATCCTGGGCCAGCTTCCAGGGCAGTGGGCCTGGTGCCAGGGCTGCAGTGTCCACAAGAAGCAAAGCCTAACTACTTCGAGCCCTCCACGCAGTTTCTTAGCTCTACCTAAATTGCCTGTTTCTGTGGGGCTTGTTCAGGTCCAACCTGGCTCCTGCCAGGAACCCACTGGGACCCAGCTCCAACAGGGCGGAAACCTGTCTCCTGTGGAGCTGATGCAGCCGTGATGGATTCTGCCTGGCAGAGGAGTCGAAGCCCAGTTCTCCAATCGATGCTGCTCAGCAGAGGCCTTCTGAGAACACAGCCAAAGGAAAATAGAAAGGGTTGTTTGCTTAATAAATGGACCTTTGCTGGACAGGACTGTATTTCCTTTCTTTTTCCTCCTCTTAACGACTTGCCGGTTGTTTCAGCTTCTCTGCCCTCTCCCCTGCCTCTTCTCTCATGGCTGTGGAAAGTATTGTTTCCTACAAGCAAGAGCTGTGGGCCTCTTTGCATCTGCCCCAGATTACCCTGGGAAAAAGAGGTTGCGCTGGGGGTAGGGAGCCACAGCAAACTGAGCACATGGCACTTGAGCCTGTCCCTTGTAAGGACTTTTGAATCTGGTTTCCCAAGGTCATTAGGACACAGACAAATTAAATGTTGTTGAAAACCCTTTCTAACAATGCTGTTTTGGTTTGTTTGTTTTTTTTCCTTAGGTTTCCTCACTGATGCCTGTGGGCTGGCTCTACCAGGCTCTTCCTGTCCAAAAGTCTGGGGTCTCCACAGTCAATGCTAAGAAACACAATGACAACTGACTCAAGTCCCCTGTTTAACAGGTGGGGGCCTAAGGGTTGTTAGAAGGATTAGGTGAGTGGTCTAAGCTTGTGCAATGGGTAAGCAACCGAGCCAAAGGAGACAAACAGCCTGAGTTTCCCAGCGCACAGAGCAGGATTATATGGGATTCAGGGATGTCTTTGGCTGTAGAGTAGAGGAAATCCCAATGACGAGAATCTCAAAGGTGCCCCCTACTTAAGTCACCTTCCTCTCCTAATCTCTGAGGTCTAGTTTGTTAACATCTGAAGTTGAGAAGAGTAGATCCGCCTTTATTTGGATACATTTTTTAAAGGCAAAAGGGAAGAGAAACCAAAGAGGAGAAGGAGCAGCGAGACTTTTCAGACTCCACTTGGAGAGGAAAGGAGCTGGTTTGTAGAAACTGGAAGAAAAACATGCTGACATGAGCCACAGGGGTCCACTGTGGTCAGAGGGGGGTTTGCATCTGGGTTGTCAAAGAGATGAGACTGTGTCTCTGGGGAGAATGTAGCACACAAGGCCTGAGTCAACGGTCTCCCTGGATCCCCAAAATCTACTCCACCGGCAGAGGGTCCCTATGTGGGGCCTCAGTTCAGCTTCTTTTAGCGGCCCCTGAATTGCATCTTAGAGAAAGACAGGCTATTTGAGAAGACCCAGCAAACACAACTATACAACCATCTTGCATTCTGAAAATTTCTCACTTGAGATCAATCCATTCCTTTGCCTAAAACAGACTTTAGCCTGCATTGCAATTGCCTACGTGCCGGTTAAACACAGATGGCTGCCCCACCCCCACTAAGGGTGGGGTCTGAGGATGTGCATTTCTCCCAGGTTTACAGATAACACGCTGCTGCAAATCTCCACAAGGAGAAAAGCTTGACAAAACTATGGCCCTTCTCACTGGCTCCTCGTTTCTGGAGAAATGGAGGACCGAGATGAGAAGACTGGACTGAAGGTCAGGTGGAAGCTTGGCCTGTCACTTGGTACAAGTCACTTGACCTTTCGAGTTCTCAGCTTTTTTACCTATGAAATGAATTTGAATATTTTAACTTTGAATTTTGACTTAAACAGGTGTGATTGCTTTGTTTTTTCAGGGCCCCTGTCCCTACTGTGTTGGGATCACCCAAGAGCTTGTTAGAAATACAATGTCTTTATTCAATCATCATTTTGAACAGACAGCAATGGTTTTTCTTCCAAAGATCGTTCTCCCCTTTTGTCTTTAGTAGCGGATTTGCAGAATCCAGCTGGTCTCATAGTATCCAGAACAAATATTCCCTTTCCCAGCAACCTTTGCAGGCAGATATGACCATGTGAGGAATTCTAGCTACTGGGATGTGAGTGGATATGATATTTCAACTTCCAGTTTATGCTCTTACAAGAAAACAGTATGTTCAACACTGTACCTTTTGCTTTTTCTCCTTTCTGCCAGTGGAAAAATTAGAGAGCAAATTGACTCAATCAAAAAAAAAAGTTATTGAACATCTGCTGTGTGTCCAGCACTGTTCTAGGCCCTTGGGATAAAATCCCTGTCCCAGTAGAGTTTATAGTCTAACAGGTAGAGACCTATGACATAAACAAAAAACATGATAAATACGTATATCACATACTATCTTAGTCACTGTTCTTGTTGAGACAAAATATCCGACACCCACAAATTAAGGCAGGAGAGGATTATTTTGGCTCACATTTCAGTATGTAATTGGCCGACTCCAAGGCAGGATGGTGGGGCAGACAGGAAGCAGAGAGAGTGGAGGGAGGAGACAGGAAGAGACAAACTTCTAGGTCGCACCCCCAGGGACCACCTCTTCTGATCAGATCCAACCTCCTAGCAAGTCCTAGCAAGTCAGCTATGCTGCCCCATAAACAAATCACCTTCTAAAAGCCCCATCTCTGGAGGCATGAAGCTTTTGGGGGACATCTAGATAGAAGCCACGACATATAGTGTGTTAAGGGATGTGGTTTCAGGAAAAAGAAAAAGAGTTGGGAACAGCAAAGTGAGCATAGAAAGTGCAGGGGTAAGGGAGGGGCAGGTTGCAGTATTAAATCAGTCACCCTTACAGACAAGATCATCATTCTAGGTAATCATGGAACCTCAGGTCGTGACACCCTCTCAGCCCTCACCGCTTAGGGTCAGCCTGTGGTGTGAGACAGCAATAAGCATCCATCTCCTTTAAGCTGTTGCGGGTCCTGCATCCTAACTCACACTAGCTCACTGTGCCTGAGCCAGGAACCCCCTTTCACCATGTGGTGGTTTTCCCAGGCTGCCTTAGCAAATTGCTGTAATCTTGGTGACTTAAAAGAGCAGAAGTTGAATCTCTCCCAGTTCCAGTGCCAGAAGTGTGGACTCCAGGCACTGGCAGAGCAGTGATCCCTCTGGAGACTCCTGGGAAGAATGCTTTCTGGCCTTTCCCAGCTCCTGGTGGCTGGTGGCATTTTTTGTGGCCTCATCATTCCAATCTCTATGGCCTCTCCTCTGTGTGTCCCTCAGAAGGGCAGCAGTTCTTAGATTGAGGGACAGAATAATCCAGGATGACCTCATCTTGAGACCCTAGTTTAATAACATCTACAAAGACCCAAGTGAGGTCACAGTCACAGGTTCTGAGGAGGGTTAGGAAGTGGATGTATCTTTTATTCTCTTCTTGTGGGAGGGTGCCAGTCAGCCACTAAAGGCACTAAGACCTAGTGTTTCCTTCTAAGTATGCACTTGGCCATGGTGCTCTGAGTCTTCAGGGTAGGTTTATGAAAGAGGGCCAACCTGCTCCATGTCCAGCAGGTAAACAGAGGTGAACACCAATGTAGACTCGAATCTGAGAACAACTCCTCTATCTCACTCTCCTCCACCATGTTGATTTCCCCTCTTTTTATCTCATCATATCTGGAAATAACCCACAAAGGAAATAGACATAAAACCACATGGTGACCCAAGCATATTTCAAAAGCACAACACGAACAAAGTAATACCCTTCACGCCTCGGGTCCCAATAGAGGAAACCCCCTGGCAGAGGTGATATGCAGGGAGAAGGAGGCTAAGAGGCAGCCGGATTGATTGAGGGATATGAACTTGGGAAGTCCAACTGTGTGAAGGATGAGGATTACACAAATCATTATTTCCCTGGCTCCCAGGAACTATTGGGCTGCAAGGGTCGTGTACAGAATCTTGCACTGCCATCACCCAGGGCAGTGCTACAATATCAGCAACTTTAAGGCCCAGATTCTCCCTGTCAGAACTGACCCCCATCAGACCACTGGAGCTGGGTCAGACAGGACCCTGAGGCTGCCACTCTGTGGACATCTGAGCCCCCATTGAAGGGTGGTGGTGGTCGGGGTAAAGCAGATCCAGGGGCTTAGGGCACAGGCTTTTCACCGACCATGATGGATGGGTCTGAACACTCTAATGACTCCGATGTCCCCCTGATGGCACCAGCTGGATAGTAGGTGTGGACATCCCATGTTATAGATGAGGCACGGAGGCTCAGTGGGGTGAGGAGGAGATTTCCCTGCAGTCCATGGCTAAGAAGGGAGGCTGGTTAGGAAGGAAAGCATGCCTGGACCACAACCTTGGAGGGAGTGAAGGATTTCAGCCAGGAAATCTCCCTGGCAGTTTTTATCCTGGGAGCTTAGAGAAAAGCAGCCACTCATTGGAGAGCTTACCAGGGAGATCTCAGAGCATCTTTCTCCTCCCCAGGGCTCCTAATCTGATGGTAAATACCAGTGAAGACTCCTCAGCCTCCCTCCCCCAGCCAGCCACCTTGTGTTCAAAGAATGGAATGGGATGGGATGGAATGGGATGGAATGGAATGGGATGGAATGGAATGGAATGGAATGGAATGGAATGGGTTGGAATGGAATGGGTTGGAATGGAATGGAATGTCCAGACACTGCCAGGCAGGGGACACAGACCAGAGCCTTTCAACATGGCACAGGAATGGCCTGGTAGAAGTCAAGCCACTGGCTTCTGCCAGTGATGTAAAGGTCAGCCTGGGTTGGCTGAGGCCCCACCCTGCTCCAGCACTTCCTCTCATCTGGTTTGTCCATTATGACACTGATTCTAATAGGGAAAAATAGCTCCGTTGCTTAAAGAAAATGATAGCAAACCATTGATTCCATTCACTCTTCACATCTTACTGATGAGGAAACTGAGGCACAGAATAGGAGTGATGGTTATTACCCAGGGGGTGCAACCAGCCCAACACTCTGTCCACTTGGCTTCCTCCCTCTGTACCATGTACCCAGCACTCTCCTGGGCCAAGCGGTTGGGGGAGAAAAGAGAAACCAAAGCTCATATTATGTATCCATAAGGTGTGACCGAAAAACATGTTGAATATTTACATTTAAAAAATGTATTACAGTAAAAGACACATAGACATTGATCCTCCTCAAAATACTTCCCTTGCTTCAGACCCTCTTATCCCATCATTCTTACCACTTTCTGAAGCAGTTCTAGAAGTCCTCTTTCTGGAGTGTCTTTAGTAGCACTGCCCTGGATGTCCTGAATTGATTCAAAATGTTTACCTTTCATGATCATTTCAACTTTGGGGAAGAGCCAGAGGTTGTACAGTGCTGGATCCTGTGAATAAGGTGAATGGGAACATAGTGGGATGTTTTGATGAACCTGTCTTTTCATTGGATGGCACTCAGCAGCATTCACTGTATTTTTTTTTTAATCAGAACTTATAAGACACTTATGAAAGAGGATTTCCAGAACTGCTTCAGAGAGTAGCAAGAACAATGAATAGGCTAAGTGTGTTTGAAGCAAGGGGACTATTTGGGGGGGGGGATTCATTAATGTGTCTTTTATGTAATAAATCTTTAAAATATAAACACTCACTGCATATTTGAATCACCCTTTGTGCATGCCCACCAGGATTGTGTCTGCTATCCTCCAAGCCACCACCACTAGACAACTTTTATGAATTCCTCACTGGTCTCTGTACTTCAACATCTGTCCCTGGGCCAAAGTGATCATTTAAAACTATAACTCAGTCCACATCATGTCTCTGCTTGAGAGCCTCTAGTGGCTCCTGCTCACTTCTCTGACATCACTTCCCCCACGCTCCCCCACACATTCTGTTCATAATGAGCTTTCTTACTTCTTTATAGGGTCTCTCTACTCCTCTTCTGGAAGTTGATCTCCAGGAGCAGAGGGACCTCATCTTCTTATGGGTATGACTCCACTGTGGTACCACCAGGCTCTAATACTTAATTAGACACTCAAAACCCCAAAGCCCTTCATAGAATGAATGAGTAAGCCATTGTGGTAGACCGCTGATATATGTCCTCTTCCACACTGAGTTGGGCTGATTTGTATCCTCAGCAGAATGGAACGTTGCACAAGTAACAGAGAGTAGCTTCTGAGGCTAGGTGATAAAAGATGCTTCCAGCTTTGTCTTGCTCTCAGGGGTCACTTGCTCTGGGGGAAGTCAGCTGCCATGTCAAGAGGATGAGCAAGCAGCTGTGTGGAGATCTCTGTATGGTGAGACACTGAGGCCTCCTGCCTACAGCCTCTAGCAAGCAATCTGTGTGGGCAGATGCCCTCACCCAGAAAGCTTCCAATCCCTGCAGCCACGGCTGACCTTTTGGTGACAACCTCATGAGGGATTGTGAGTCAGAAACTACCTCTGAATTCCTGAATCACAGGAACTGTGAGGTAATAAATGTTTCAGGTGCAAAGTGGTGGGATAATTTGTATGCAGCCACAGATAACTAATACATATTTTTCTTTAAAAGATGGGATCATAATATACATACTGTTCAGAAACCAACCTTTTTACTTAAACAGTATATCATGACCATTTTTCATGTTTTCGTTTTTCATGTCACCCATGCACATCATCATTTTAAATAGACATTCAGAATTTCACTGAATAAATGTATCACAATTTATTTAACCACTTTTCTAAGTCTTGAATTCTCCACTACTATAAGCAAAATTGTGACGGTCATTGTTTGTGGCTAATGCTTTATAACATGGATGATTTTCTTAGAATATATTCTTAGAAGTGGAACTGCTGTGTCAAGGGATATATTTGGGGTTACAGAGTTCCAAATCGTGTCTCCAGAAAGCATGTAGGACTCTTTCCTTAGGCTTTCAGAGCACCTGTTTAGTAGGCGTACTTTAAAAACATTTACTGTTTTGCCCATCTGATAAGCTTAAAATGGCCTTTGATTATTTGAATGTATGTTTCTTTGATTTTTAGTTATAGCAGCTTGGAGCGGAGGCCCTGGGTGGGGAGGGCTCCTGGGTAGAGAGAGCTCTGCCCACCAATTCTGCTAGGCATCCCAGCACCCCCACCTCACAGCCATGGGCACGCCTGAGCCCCCTCTCCTTTAGCTCCTCATGAGGGTGGGCACAGTAGCAGTCAGGGGCTTCCTACCTGA